TCAATCTTTTTGCAACTATATAAAATTTATTCTATTGCATGAATATACCCTAATTTATTTAACCAATTGTACACTGATGGACATTTAGGTTTTTTTCCAAACTTTTGCTGAGTTAATTTAAATGACTTTGTATGCTAAAAAGAAAACTGTAGGGCTCTCTATAAGGAGGCTCTCTCAGGCATGGTAACTTCAAACTCCAGTTCTAATAGTATGTTCATACAGGAAAGGTCCCTGGGCATCTGGGTCACAGTCTTAAGAGGAATTGGGAAAAAAATACAGATTTATCCATAAAATTGAGATCACACTCTGGTCACTTAAAAAAAAAAACCAGAAACACTTTACTATGTTTTCAATGTTCACAGGCCACCAATATTACTTGAGATATATTAAAACAATACACTCGAAAGAGTGAAAACAATTCATAAAGGTCTAGTTATAAATCTCATTTTGTAGGTCACACAGTGAAATTAGGAAGTTATGTTCCATTGAATCCCCAAAACTCAATCAAAATTCCAAAGCTGAAAAGTACAAATCTGTTCGAGACTATATTCTTCACTAGCATTAAAGATGAAAGGAATCACCCAATGCTGTGTATCTTTGTGAAATCCAGCTAAGAGTCATAACCCTCTGATGCCACATGCACAGTAAAGACAAGAAATCAGACTAGGGAGCCATTCTCTGCATCATTTCCATTTCTGCTCTCTTCCAACAATCCCTTCTGACCACACAGATTGGTTTATCAAGAAACTGACAGAAGCAACTAGCTATCTGCTAGGCCATTTAGCTCTAGTAAACCAGAAAAAATAATAGTTAAAAAAAAAATAGCACCCACCCCCCCAACAAGAAAAAGTTTACTTAGTAAAATGTATTACAGCTAAGAAAAAAATGTAACTCAATCATCTAAATTTTGTTTAGTCAGTCTGGGCTCATATAGCATAAATGCTGTTATTATTATACATTCTGGTCAAGATTACATTTTTTCAAGTGTTCTGCAAAATCTAAGGCGAGTCTAAGAACTTTATTCGCCAATCCCTCTTTATCAGCAATCCAATACTAGTGACTGATTCCACTGATGGGCAAGCCCCATAGGTGGCTCAATAATAAAAGAAAACAAGGATTAGCAGATTCCCTTGAGGTAAATCCTAAGGCATCACTGATGTGTCTACCTTATCTGAAAAGTCTCTAGCTAAGTCTTATGGGTTCACAGACTTACCACAATGATATCCTGCAAAAATGACAGGAAAACTCAAGAATCCTACTTTAAAAGCTCTATGCACTGAATAAAACTGTATTTATGCCCTTGAATCTACTTTTCAAAGAAATCAATCTCTTATGTTTAAAAAAGGAAATAGATGATGTCATATTTTACCATAAAACTGCCTTTTTGGTTAAAAACAAGGCTAGGAACTACGCACACAATCTATAGGTATAGGCCTAAAGCGGAGACTTGATAAAATCTGACAGGTAAAGGGACCTTACTTTTCTCTCCTTTACCCACCAAAGCAAAAATGTCTAAGGCACTCAAACCTATAGCCCTAATAACAGTTTATGATCCAACCTCAGAAGAGCAATGGGAATTCTTCAAGAGAAAATGTTCACAAGTGATTTTAAAAATCAAAGATAACTGCTATATAAACAGATTAACTAAAATAAGCATCTGATGTCTTCACTGATTCTATTAAGCACTTTATGGCTTGCATTAACCATGAAAATTTACACAAGGCTTTGCACGTGATTCATCTCTGGACACAGAACTCACTGAAATATGTTAATGTCCTAAAACACTCCTTTTGCCACATAAGCTCTGAACAGGCTTAAAACAAGCACAGCCTATGGGTAACACTATAGAATCTGGAGCTAAGTTTTATTGTCTCGACCAAGTTCACCCAGCCATAGAGCAACAAATCAAAGTTCCAATAACCACACTGCACCTGCAAGACTTAGGTATGCTCCAAGTCAAATATTTGCAATTTTTTCAGCCCAAATCTGTACAAACGAAAGTATGCAGATCACAGCGCCAGACCTCTAAATCTTATAAGCCAGAATGATCTGCAGTTTCATTTCACATCACCCATGCCTTACCATTTATTGAATCCTTAACAGGTACATGCGCCAGGAACTGTGCTAGAAGCTTACATGTATTATCCCTAATCCTCATAACAAATCCCATTCTGCTGATGAGGAAACTGAAAACAGAGAGGTCAAGGTGACTTGCCCAATGCCACAGAGCCAGTAAACGGTGTAGCTGGGATTCAAACCTTGTTCTCTGCCTGGCACCAAAGAACCGTCTCCCTGATCCTCTTTCAACTCAAGTCACTAACTGCAACACCAGTTCACCTCCATCAAAGCAAACTCAAGCGCTAAGTGTCTGAAATGATGACAACAGCTAAGAAACATATCATCCCTAAAACCATAGCACAAGACCCAAGAGTTCCCAGCGGGGAAATGCTCTCACCTCCTTCAGAATAACTAGTTCCAACGGCTGCAGTTCAAATACAAGAGAATCCACAGGTTTTTTTGTTGTTGTTGGCTGTATCTCAACTGACTTTTTAGAACAAGGGAAATGAAACTCAAGAGTACATTCACATTTTTGGTGAAATTAACTAAAACTCTTGAGAAAAGGGTGATTTTTTTAACAGTCCACTTTCACAGTTTACTTCTTCAATAGGCTTCAGACACTCAAAAACAAAATCACATCAGTAGCATTACTAATCAACTTTTTTCTACAGACTTGAAAAGTATGTTCTTACCACACTACAAGATTACTTCCCATATTTAAGAGCAGAAATGGAAACAGCTCCGGGTGTCACGAATCAGATCTTGAGGCCACAGTTGCAGAAAGTAGGTGCTGTTTCCCTTGAGTAGGAGCTGCTGATGTGAAACCTCCTAAGGGAAGGGTGTCTGAAGAAGAGTGTTGAAGAAACTAAAGCAAGCTGTTTGTATTAATGAGAGGGAGCTGCTGGCACCACTACTCCTTAAGTGTTTCACTGCTGTGCAATTGTTTTCCAGCTTTCAAGTTCTGAATCTGGCAGAGAATGCAGTTCTCACAGACATCCGTGTTATATGATCAGCTGCTCTGTGGCGTGTGGGTGTTTAAATAGGTAAGCAACTGGTTAGAAGAGGTTCTGCAATATTAAATCAAGGAAGCATACTGTCCCCTGAGATTTTAATGATCTGTCACTATATGACGCTGACAAAGAAAAGTAACATATTTGCAACTTTGAAATGGTTTGGGTTTAGGACAGGCAAATAATTTCCGACAGTAAAACTTCAGGCATGAAATGAACCAAAAAAAACCTGTAATGTAAACCACTTCAAGCATGTTTATTAGATAATAAAAAAATGTAATATTTGCAATCTCAGCATACTTTCCAACTTCGTAGGGTACACTGCATAATTATTAGATTAAATGCTATTCTTCAGGTGTATGGAACAGGTTCCATGCAAGATTCCAAGGTTCCCTTGCCTTCCAAAAAGCTGTTAATTCCATGAACTCCTTAGCCTCTAAGAGCCCCCAAAAGGCAAAAAATAGGAAGGTCTCCAAGGATTCTTTAAGTGAAATATACTGTCAGAATTGTAAGCTCCTGCAGAGCTGGGGACTGTGCTTCTTTAATGTCACTGCCCATCATAACACTATCACACGCTGGAATAAATGTCTCTTGATTGAAATATGATCAGAAGGTAAACGCTGGGTGCAGAGTGATTTAAACCAGAATAGCTGATATTTATCCCCTGCTTATTGATAGGATGGTGCAATGTTCATCCCTAGTTCTAGATTCTAAACATGGAGACTAATTTCCCTAACTACAATTAAAATGCTTCCTTTAAAACAAAATTTAAAAATGGATGATTCTGATGGCAATGTCACCCTGAATAAAGACATGAAATCATATTTAATAAAGTTGAAAAAATCTTCTTCACAGAGGAGGTGCTCTACGACAAGAATGATCAAGCCTTCTTTTAAGAGATCAGATCAACCTCAACCAACACATAAATATTCCAGATAGGCATCATGAAACAGACCACTGGCCCTGCTCTTGAAATCTGCTACATTTAGAATATAGTGTAAGGAACAGACATTATCAACTGGTCAAATTTAGACAAATTATTTTGACTCCAATTTTAACTTTTTCTCAAACTCTCACATATATCTGCTTTACAGGAAGACAGGGAAATGATACCTAACAGACATCTAGCTCACTGTAATCAAAGAGCAAAACACAAGGATACACATATAATCTACTTTGTTGCTTATTGCTCAAGACCAAAGTAATGCCAATCCTTAAAAGAAAACAAAACAAAACAAAGCAAAACACAAAACTCAAGTTCCTTTCACTTTTGCGTAACATAGATCTTAACCTGAGGTCCCAGAACCAGCTTCAAGATGACCATAATTGCATACAAAGTCATGTGTGTCTATTTCACTGAGAATAGGGCCCCAAAGAAAGGTCAAGAACCGTTGAAGTAGACATTTCCAGGGTCACTAAAACTCAGCAGTGAACATTTTAAACAGAATTATACTAAAGGTAGTGTCTATATGAACACATGTGCACCGTCCTGATACAAACAACCAAGCTGCCTGCCAGCCCTGCCCATCACAGTATAGCTCACCACTCTCAAATCAGCCCTACGCGGGAACATCACCTGCATTCAGCACACACACTCACATATGCCAGCCACAGCAGCTCTCCATTCCCTAAGCACACACATATTGTCAACAAAGCGTGTTGCTAGATGCCATTCCCAGAAGAGTATGGGCCTGGCCATCTCTGGAAAAAACACACATTCTTCCCAAAACATTACCCTATTTATTTACCACACCTTGACCATAGATGTTAAACATTACTACAAAATAAATAAAATTCCCACACACCATATGTACCTCATTAACTGGGGAAAAAGCATCACTCAGGCAGGTATTACTGAGGGTCCACGGGAGATGCATATAAGGTTAATACTATGATAATGATGCTTGAACATGGGGACAATCAAAGACTCACGCAGGCACATCCTGAGAACATGGTTGTGGAAAGCACCCTTTTCCAAATGCAAAAGCACATTCCTTTGACTGGCACAAGCCATTCTTGACAATGGATTCGCGATGACAGAGGCTGCTCTGCTCGGCAATCAGGAAGTGTGTGAGTGTGTGTGTGTGTGTGTGTGTGTGTGTGGTGGGGGAGGGATGTACTAGATGTGATCAAAGACTGGCCCTCTTCAAAGAAGAGCATATGAGATCTTAAATCGTGAAGCCAGACTTCGAGGGTGAGGCAGGGGCATTTATCATTTCCACAGGAGACACCTCTCGACAATGAACATGTCACATGCAGATGTAACGGGGGTGTCACTACCTTTAGTGTCTCTCATCTAAGAATCTTAAGTAGAGCCTGATTGGAGGGGAGGAGGGGGTGGGGGTGGAGAAAGGTCTGCATTACCCTCTAGGGTGAATGTTGAGCGGGCGTACGTACACTAGATGCATTTTATCTCGGGCGGCACAATACTCCCGGGGGTTGGAGGTTTGGGCGCAACCGCAGGGCGGGGGAGGCAGTGGGTGCAAGCCACCAGCTGCAGGGCAGGAGAATGCTCGCAGAACCGGTGCAAGCCTCCCTTCGGCCCGCTAACCCGTGCAACCCCAGCCTCCCCTCAGGCCTCGGGGCGAGAAGACTCTGCAAAACTGGAGCCCAGCCCGGGTCCGGGAGAGAGGGGGCGAGGGAGCAGAAGCGGGCGCCCGGGGCCCAAGCTGGGGCCAGAAGAGCGCAGCGCCCCGGGCCTCCCCGCCGGATGGGGGCTGCTCCGGCCTAGTGCACGCAGCTGCCTCGGCGAAGGGTTATCCCGGCGCCCGGCGCCCCGGCCGGCCCGGCGGGCGGCGGAGAGGACGGGCTGCTGCTAGGGTCGCAGCCGCGACGGTGGCGTGTGCGTGGGGGGCAGGGGCTCCTACTCACCCGGGCCGGCCGCCTCCGCCTCCGCCGCCCCGACCGCCGCCTCGGCGGTCCATCCCTGCGGCGGGGGGCCTGTAGCCGCGGCGCTCGAGTAACAACCGCCGGCCGGGCCGGCCCCTC